ACCCAACTCTCCCATTTCAACAAACCCTTCCAAGCCCTCACTTCTTTTAACCTGATGCGAACCACCGGCATATACCCCAATCAGTTCACCTTCTCAGCCATCTTACCCGCCTGCGCTCACGCCACGCTCCTTTCACAGGGCCAACAAATCCACGCCTTGCTTCTCAAACACGCCTTCCACACCGACACTTTTGTTGCCACCGCTTTGCTCCATATGTACGCCTCGTGTGGCTCCATGTCCTTGGCGGAGAATGTGTTCGACCAAATGCCCCACCGAAATCTCGTTTCCTGGAACTCCATGATTGTGGGGTTTCTTAAAAACAAAATGTACGGTCGTGCCATTGGGTTTTTTAGAGAGGTTCTTTCTCTTGAACCCGACCAAGTTAGTTTCTCCAGCGTGTTGAGTGCTTGTGCTGGGTTGGTTGAGCTTGGGTTTGGGAAACAAGTTCATGGGAGCATTGTTAAGCGTGGTTTGGTGGGGTTGGTTTACGTGAAGAACTCGCTGGTAGACATGTATTTCAAATGCGGTTTGTTTGAGGATGCAACTAAGCTGTTCTGTGGTGGTGGAGACAGAGATGTTGTGACGTGGAATGTAATGATCACGGGATGTGTTCATAGCCAAAACTTCGAACAAGCTTGCACCTTTTTCCAGGCTATGATAAGGGAAGGCGTGGAACCGGACGAGGCTTCGTACTCATCTCTCCTTCACGCTTCTGCAAGTATTGCTGCACTGGCACAAGGCAGCTTGATCCATTGTCATGTATTAAAAACCGGGCGTATGAAAAATGCGTGTGTTTCGAGTTCTTTGGTAACCATGTACGGCAAGTGTGGAAGTCTGTTTGATGCCTACGGTGTTTTTGGAGAAACTAAGGATTGCAATGTGGTTTGTTGGACTGCTATGATAACAGTTTGCCATCAACATGGTTGCGCAAATGAGGCAATTGAATTGTTTGAAGAGATGCTCAAGGAGGGGATTGTGCCAGAATACATAACTTTTGTTTCCGTGTTGTCGGCTTGCAGCCATACAGGGAAGGTTGATGATGGTTTTAAGTACTTCAATTCCATGGCTAATGTTCATAACATTGAACCGGGGCTTGAGCATTATGCTTGCATGGTTGACTTGCTTGGTCGCGTTGGTCGTTTGGAGGAAGCATGGAGGTTCATTGAATTGATGCCGATCGAGCCTGATTCGTCCGTTTGGGGGGCTTTTCTTGGGGCATGCGGAAAGCATGGCAATGTTGAAATGGGAAGAGAGGTTGCAGAGAGGCTTTTCAAGTTGGAACCGGATAATCCAGGAAACTACGCGCTGCTTGCGAATATCTATACTCGACATGGGATGTTGGATGAAGCTGATGAAGTCAGAAGATTGATGGGGGTCAGTGGGGTGAGGAAAGAGACTGGGTGTAGCTGGATTGATGTTAAGAACAGAACCTTTGTGTTCAATGTGAATGATAGGTCTCATTCAAGGACACGAGAGATTTATGAAATGTTGCAGAAGTTGAAGGAATTGATGAAGAGGAGAGGGTATGTGGCGGAGACCCAGTTTGCAACTAACAGCGTGGAAGGTTCTGAAGAGCAGAGTTTGTGGTGTCACAGTGAGAAATTAGCTCTTGCATTTGGACTTCTGGTCCTCCCACCTGGATCTCCGGTAAGGATAAAGAAGAATTTGAGGACCTGTGGCGATTGTCATACTGTTATGAAGTTTGCTTCAGAGATTTTTCAGAGAGAAATTATTGTGAGAGATATCAATAGGTTTCATCGATTCACAAATGGATCGTGCTCATGTGGGGATTATTGGTGATTGAATTTAAAGCACATGCAACAAAATGAACACGAGTCATGACTACCTAAGAACAAGAAAAAACTAAGATTGATTTACACATGCTTAAACAGTTTATACAATCCGATCAAGGACTGATTTATTTTTGTAATTTTTTTTTTTCTTAACATGTGCTACACCAATACTTTTTTAGTTTCTTATGTATATTAATTTTCTGTATAAATTTAAGAAAAATACCTAACCTTTTTATATTCTCAAATTGTACAAAGTTTAAACTCCCAGTTCTCAACTTGTTTAAAAAATTTCCACAAATAAAAAATTTAGAGTTCAAAACACAATACAATTTTCTTGATACGTATGTAACAAGAGAAAATATATTTTGACAGAGTTGTACATTCATTTCACACATTATTTCCACTTCTTATTATAAAAAGGAAAATGATTTTTTGACACTCCTAAATTTTTTATATTTATTTGACATTATCCTTATTTATTTTTTCTCTCTTTTTTTTTTTAAAAAAAATACAGAACTTTATACTTTTTAAACTATTTTACCGTTGTATTCTGTGTTAAATGAATGTAAAAGTGTGTCATAGTATTATTTTACTTAATTAAAATTTTGAGCTTTATAAAAATTATAATAAATGGCATATGCTTCAAAGACATTATTGCTAACAACATGATTTTGCTTTTCTGTGGAAGTGTTCACAAGTATGTATCAAAATAAAGATCCTCCTTTATTATTTTTTGCAGTTGAGACCTTAATAGGAATAACACAGTTCGAGTGCAGAGATTGAAGAAGAAATCGAAAAATTATTACAACAATATATTGGTAGATACCGTTTTTCTGTCTCAAGTGTGAAGGGTCCCTTGCCTTATTGGTATTAATTAAGAAATGCGACATAAAGTTTTATGTATGATACACGAGGAGCGCAATTGATTGTTCGCACCTTTTTCGTACATAAATTAAATGGCGGATACATGTATTTGGCTAAATTATTCTACTTTTAAGTATATTTTTTCATTTTAAAATAATTTCAGTAAAAAAAAGTATTAATTAAAAGTTTCTCGCACCAAAATCGCATATACAAATAAATATAGAAAAGGGCACGACGATCCAAGTTTTACAGGACATCAATAAATACCGTAAAAAATAAACAATACATGAAAATAAAATTTGAAAACTCATAAAAAAATGATAATATTACCATCGTATACTGCACCTTTGGGACTAAATATTTAATTCGTTAAAAAGACACACTTTTTATTTATTTAATTTCAATTCCCATTTTTAAATCAGCATATTACCATTAAAAAAATTGGTGTCCAACGTCTCATATCATCTCCTGACGTGGCATGTGCTCCACAAATTATAGGATGGACCACTAGTACTACTAAATCGCTTTCTCTGTTTTCTCCAGATACCTTTTTTTAACTCCCCAACAAAGGGCCTCAAAAAATAAAATATAATAAATAGATTGAGACATTCAAATTGTGGTAAGTTCATTTTGGAAGGAAAATAAGCTCTTTTTTTAAAAAAAGTAATTTATTTTCTAAAAACATGAATTATTTTATGTTTGGTTAGAGTTATAAAATACAATCGCTAAAGTGTTTGAGTATAATAGTTGTAAGCATGCCATACAACAAATGTCAATACAAAAATTAAGTCTCCAAGTTTAAATAGAAATATCTCAAACCATCAGAGTTATGGTTTAATTTGACTCAACATACAAGTGTTCTCATATTTACAAAATTAAAAAAATATTTTTTTGTGTGAATATTTACAATATATAAATATTTTAATTAGTCATCAACCACGTACCCTTCAAAGAATATATACAGTGATAAAGTAGCAAATAGATGAACGCAACCACCATACAGATGTCCAATTAATTTACTACACGAATCAAGCATATTAGGTTGTGTTGTAACTATATAAGAAAAAAAAAATGTAAAAATGGAAGAGGACGTGACTCACCATGCATCGTTCTTTTCGTTTTATTCCATTCAAGCAAAAATCACGCTCAACACCCAATTACTTTAGTTTTTCCTCAATTTCCATTCTTTAAACTATTAAATCTATAACCATATATTTTTATTTTTAATTATATTTTAAATAAGTTAATATCTTGTCTTTACAACACAATGATAAAGGGAAAAATGAATATAAATTATTTATCTATTAAAAAAATTAACAGTTCCACAATATAATAATATTTTTTGTTATCTTATGAAAAAACTATACTTTATATTACTTCCTTAACATTATTTCTATTAATCAATACAACAAAATCATAATACATATTAAAATAAGAAATCAGAAGAAAAAAAAAACTATTCATATGGTCATATGTTCTCGCTCAGTGATCATCAATCACATACGGCCTTGTGGCAACCAAGGTAGCCGTCTGATCTGAGTGAGTCAGTGGTGAGCGTTACTTGAAGGTAACCGTTGGATTTTGTTTGAGATTGATTGCACAAAATTAAGGGTCCCACACAACCTTAACCACTGGAATCCCATAGTTAAGAAAGAAAGAAACAAAATTACATGGAGATTTTTTTTTTTCTGATATGCATTTAAAATCTCAGTAAAAATAAAATTAAAATATAAAATAAAAAATTACGTAGGTATTAGATGGTAATATAAATTTGAAGAGAGTAAAACATATCACAACCCAAAAGGAAAACTCCAGAATCTATTCCTTTTTCTGTCTGGTGGTACATGTTACATGGTATGCGACATGTGTCTTCGATTCTCAATGCTTTCATCTGCAATTTCCTCAGGCGTTCTGGGTTCCTTCCTATTCTGGAAACTTCTATTAACTGCAAAGGTAGAACTGTTAATGCATAATCATCATCGCTCAAACGCTATTTATTGCATTAAGCAAATTTTGTGGGTCGAAAAATTTTGTTTCTTTTTAAGATACCCTCTTAAGGTTTTACTCCCTGATTTTTCCTTTATTTCAACTCTCAACATTGGACAACTACAAGACCAAATCATTTTGAAGTCTTGAGTTCATTCTTGACTTGGCAAGGTTAATTTGTTTATGATATACGGTTATTTAAGAATTGGTTTGACCCCGATGTTTCTGGCATTAATTTATTTAGCTATGTTGCAGTACTTTCCTTTCTAATATGGAAAAAAAGAAAGATTTTATGTTCCGCAAATAATTATTTATTACTGTTACTTTCTTATCTTTCCCCTTCTGTATTCAAATCAAACACTGTGGTGGGGCTAGCGTCAGGATTCCGTCTGTGGGCTCTGAAAGGTGGTTCGCACTTCACAGTTAGCACTATGCTTTTGTCGGATGCAACAACAATAATGGCTAATTTTATTATAAGAGTGCTTCTTTACATGAGTTCATCATGCCTCTGCATGAGTTATACCGTGTGAATTAAGGAGACTTGATCCCAAAAGAGATGAACAACAACACTTGTGCAGCTGATCAATCTTATACGTAAGTTCAATATCATGTTTTTGTTAATCCCGTTTTGTTTGATCTTTGTTGTGTTTCTGTGACTTGCTTCCTCATTTGTTTTAATCCTACCTTTGTGGCAGATCCAACAATGATTTGTTTGAGCTGGTTTGGGAAAAGGGCCAGATTTCAATGCAGGGTCAATCATTTAGAGCTCGAAAGAGCCCAAATTGTAGAACTTTGCCATCTCATTGCTTACCATCTCGCACTCCTCTAGGAGGATATGCTAAGGATAATAATACTACCATCACAAGGATGGGGAAGTGTGGCAGTTTAGGACCTGAATTGAATGAAATCAAAAGGGTATTCCCTTCGGGTGAAGTGTATTTTGGTGAAGAAGAAGAAGATGAAGACATGGTGATGCCTTGGTTGAATTATGGAATGGATGACTCTTTGCAACATGGATATAGTTCTGAGTTTTTCAATGAACTATGCGGGGTCACCATGAATGAGCCGTCAGCATCAAATGGTTTTTCTTTGTTAGACAGAAGAAATAGTTGTAGTAAGGTATTTAGGGACACTCATAAAAACACTCCATTTGCATCTGTTAGATCCAAGATAGTGGATATAGCTGAAAATAATACAAATAATGTTCCATCTCCCTCAACTGGTTTTTCTGGCTTAAAGATGGAGAAGCAAGGCTCGGTTGCGTGTAGCAATAGTTCCACCATGATGAATTTTTCCCACTTTGCAAAGCCTGTTGCTATTGTCAAAGCTAACCTTGAGAACATTGGTTTGGCATCAAGATCAGGAAGTGTGGGAATAAAGATAAAAGGTGTTGCTGCAACTGTTGCGACAAATCCTGCTCAATCAACAAAAGTTGAATTATTCGGAGAGTGTTCAAAAAAAGCAGGCACACAAAGTCATCAGGTTACGGAGCCAAAACCTCTTGAGCAGGATGGTGCCGTTTCAACAAAGTGTGATCCTTCTTGCAAAGATGTCTGCAGGATTGATGACACTTCAAACCTAGTCGTTGGAGAAAGTGTGAACAAAGGAAAGGAAGCTGTTGAAAAAAATGTAGAGCCATCTGTAGTCTCCTCCTCTGTTTGCTCTGGCAATGGTGCAGAAAGGGGTTCTAAGGATCCAAATCAAAATTTGAAGAGAAAAAGTATAGACACCGACGACTTTGAGAGCCAAAGTGAAGTTAGTTTCTTAGAATTACGATGTTTGTTATGTTAGTATTACTTTGTTATTTGTTTTATGGTGTTCTACTATAGTAACTTTCTTTTCATTTAAGGATGTTGAAGAAGAATCAGTTGGTGTAGAAAAGGAGGTTCCTGCACCACAAATTGGAGCCAAGAGACACCGTTCAGCTGAAGTGCATAATCTATCTGAAAGGGTGTGCAAGACTATTTACTGTTTGTGTTCAGTTAATTAATTTCTTACCAATGTTCCTTATTAAGTGTTTGTTAATTATATTGTTTCTGATGTATATGATAATAAAACTTTGGGCCTTGTTTATGCAGAGAAGAAGAGACAGGATCAATGAGAAGATGCGTGCATTACAAGAACTAGTACCAAATTGCAATAAGGTTGAACTTAACTTTCTCATTTTTGCTTGATACACATAGGAAAGCTTTTTGACACTATACTATGTTTTATCTATCACCATGGATTTTAGCTTTAATTGGATGTGTCATTGTTTGTTTTATTTGATGGAATGGACAATGTTATTATCAAAGCATTGGAGCTTCTTGAAGAGCTATTAAAAAACATAACCTTGAAAGCAAATTTTAAGACAGCCACTATTTTAAGACATATATCTTATGTATCTTGATATTTCCACAATAATTTCAACTGGGTCATTTTGTCTAAAAATAGTTGCTTTGTGTTAATATTGATGATTTGTTGCACATCGTTGAAGTAACTAAGCCTTTTGACTTATAGAAAACCTTTTGATGATTTGTTTTAAACATCACAAAGTTAAGTAAGTTCTTATTTTATACTCGATATCTTGTTTATCATGATTTTTCTGATTTCATGTGTATTAGGCGGATAAAGCTTCGATGTTGGATGAGGCGATAGAGTATCTCAAAACACTTCAACTCCAACTTCAAGTACCCTTTCTTCCATCAATCCTTTGAATTTTAATTGATGAAATCATGTATGATTCATTGAAAGTTTCGATTGTTTCGTATGTTTTTACATAGGTAATGTCAATGGGAACTGGTTTATACATGCCTGCTATGATGTTACCTCCGGGAATACAACACATGCACGCAGCACATATGGGTCCTTTTTCTCCTATAGGTGTTGGCATGCAAATGAGGTTAAGAGTGGGTTGTGGCATGGGCATGATTGATGGCAATGATGAGACTTCTGGATTTCCAATGGCTCATGTGGCCCAAATGCAAGGAGCAAAACTTCCCATTGCACATGCACCTGGTTCCACTGCTTTACATGGAATGCCAAATGGCCAAGTGTTTGGGGTTCTTAGTCAGGGTCACCACATGCCAATGCCACATGCTCCCATATTTTCATTTCCAGGGGAATCCTTTATGGAACCATCAACTTTAGGACTAAATGCCTGTGGAACAGCACTTACGGAAAATGTTGGTTCGGTTTCAGCCTGTAACTTAAAGGATCCAATGCCACATGTGAACTCACAAGATGCACAAAACACTAACATACCAGATGTCAACACAAGATTGTAATATTGTATTTTTTTATCAGCAATTATATATATATATATATATATATATATATATATATATATATATATATATATATATATATATATATATATATATATAAATTAGTAGAATACTATGGGTGCTCCAACCCATATATATAAAAAATACATACATTAAACAGTACTACAAAACGCCTAATGGAATCTCATTATACCCTTTCAAAATAGTATTATATAGTCTTAAAACTTAGAAGCTGCCTATGTACGTAAGTTACTAAAACAGAGCAGTTACAGTGTCATACAGAGCATTCATAGTTACATCAAGGCTTAATACCCTATTTTGTCCCCAGTTTCGCTCAAAAATGTCAAATTAGTCCATCCTTTAAAAAATGTGTCAATTACGTTTTCGCTTAATAAAATTTGCATCAATAAAATCCCTTCCGTTAAATCCGTACAAAAGGCGTTAATTATTTTTCTCTCTTATTAAGTAACGCCGTTTTTACGGATTTAACGGAAGGGATTTCATTGATGCAAATTTTATTAAGTGAGTTCGTAATTGACGCATTTTTTAAAGGATGGACTAATTTGACATTTTCGAGCGAAACTGGGGACAAAATAGGGTATTAAACCTTACATCAAAAACTAAAGTTACATTTGTGTGCTTCATGTAGATCAATCTATTGTATTTGTCATAATTGTTTATAAATTTTTCTCTTCCAATTGTTGCTTCCCTTATGTTCCTTGAAAGGAGCATGTTGTTGCGTGACTATATTTTTTTATTATCTATATGTTATTGCTGGACCATTCATGTTGCATTTCATATTGTTAAATCTGTTTAGGCCATTCTCATCTTGAATTTCCGGCAAAATGACAAACATAACTTCAAACTAAAAGTCTGGTCAGGTTAAAATGCAGAAAAAAGAGATTTACTTCCAATTTCTGGCTTATTGATGGAAAATTGAGGTTATATTTTTATGTGATAGATTGAATGCACTTGGACAAAGAATCCAATTAAAATAAGAAAAAATAATATTATTAATTTTATGTTTTATCCAAACTCAAACATTTAGTTGTGTCAAAATAAATATCTGATTTGCATTTATTTTCCTTTTTCCCTAAACACTATTATTCATATGATTCTGTATATTCTTTATAATTGCAATTCACACACTCTTCCATAACTTATTTTCTTTGCTATTAAGTGTCAAAAAATCAGAAAGATAAAAGTAGTTTTTTAGTTGATTATGATTTATTGTTCTCCTTTATACCAATACACAAGTGAGAAATAAATGTGTATTAGTCTCTTTTTTTAATCCACACAATATACATTATTTAATTGTATTCATTTTCTCTTAAGATTTGTCATTTTTCTCCAAGCAAACATTTGTGCTAAGGGAATTATCTTTACACTCCATGACATTTTGTACAAATTAGAGTTTTCTCTAATAAAAATATTTTGCATTTTTTCATATCTAGATTTGATAATATATTATTGTTTGTTTGTTTGTTGTATTAGGTGTACAAATTTATCTACTTAAGGTAATTTTCACTCCAATCATTATTTTCTCCATGTTACTTTCTATTTCTATTCATCATTCTTTCATTTTCCAAACTATTTTATGTCTTTATTCTTAATCATTGAATTCCCATATAGTCTCAGAAACCTAAGACTTAAAGGATTTTTTTTTTTATCCTGGACCCTAAACCTACTTTCTACTCTATATTTTGGTCAAGGTATCTTCATTTTCCCTCCTCTCCGCATACGTCTCTAAAGTCTTTCCACCATGTTGACCTATTTTAATGTTTACTCTTCCCAATGAGGTCTTTCTAAGATATATATTTTGATTCTAGAATTTCTTTCCAAAAGTCATTTTCTTCCTTACCTAGTCTCCATTTTCATTTGGCTAATAAAGCTTTATCGAACAACTCAATGTCTTTTATGCCAATTTCTCCTTCCATTTTTATTTACATAAATCCTTCCATTTTACTGAAGCTATTTTCCTACCTTCTTTTAGTCATTCCCACAAAAAAGTTTTTTGTAATTTCTTGATAGACTTGCACACTCTTTTTCGAACTTTATAAAAGGAGAAATAGTAAAGTGGTAGAGTTGTGATAATAGATTTTATAAGACATTTTTTCTACAAAGGATAAAGTCCTACTATTCATGTGGACAACTTCTTTTGGACTTTATTAATCATTAGCCACCAAAAGACTTGTTTTGTTAGATTATCCCACAGAACTTCCATAATACTACAATTTAGAATATTAAAGAATATTTGTGTTATTTTCTTGTTTATTCTTAAGATTTCAATGTTACTTTTGTGAAAGTTAACCCTAAATCCTGAAGCCATCTCTAAGCATGCTTTTTATTGTCAAAATATTTTGATTATTCACTTCACACAGAAATAAAGTATCATTTGCAAATTATGGTAAAGTTAACCATGCTTTTATTATCTTCTACTTTTATTCCTATATAAACTTGTAATCTAATTGCTTGATTTGTCATTCCAAAAAAACCTTATGACACTATTCAGAACACGAAAGAAGGATCACATTGTCTCAACCCTCTTATTGGATTAGATTTTTTAGTTGTACTACCATTTACTAACATTGAGATAAAGACTGATAATACTGCTTAATTCAACTTATTCACTACCTACAAAATCTTAACCTTTGCATCATATAACAAAGAAAATCTCAACTTATCGAAATATACACCTTTTCGTAATCTATCTTCCTGTTACCCCTACTTTTCTGTTTTTACTTTACCTCATTAGCTATAAGTATGTTGTCAAACAATCCTCTCCCTTTTCTTGGTTAGAATTAAGGTTGGGTATAACAAAGTTAATTTCCATGATAATTTTTTGAGTCATAGACATGTTGATGTTTGTGTCTATTTGTGTTATGCTAGTGTGAAGCAACAAGAGGTGGGTTTGAGCACTCAACTTTTGTACGAAGTTGTGGTGATGCCACTTTATAAATGACATAGGAACTTTTGTAGTATCACTAAATGCACCTGATACATAATACGTTTTTTTTTTGACATTTTACTTACTTATAAAGTATGGAATGTTATAGTAGAATAACTTAATCATTCACTTTTACTTGTAGTTGCGGACTATGATTTGTGGTGCTTTGATTATGCCAAATAAATTCCTGCTCCCTATCAAATTTATTGGTGCACCCCATAAAAAGCGTGTTCCGGAAAATGAATTCCGGAATGATAGAGTGTAGGGATATAATGTAAAGGCCTAAATTCTATTGCTTTTGAAGTCTGCAAGTTCGATATATAGAATTTCAAAGAGAATGCTGAAGAGTTTTAGGTTTGCTCATCAGAGTTATTATTGTGTCTGCCTTTTTTTTTGGAACTATTTTATTAGACTAATTAAGCAAATATATGGATACAAAACTTTTTTCTGAAAATTCATTTTAGAGTTTTACTCAATCAAAATTATGATTTTTTTTTATATAATTAATAATATGTGTATATTCTAAGCGATGTTAGCATGATAGAGTAACCAAGAAAGTAGTGCCCTGCATACTTAAAATAAGACGTGTTTTTTGGGCCAGTGTGGTAACAAAGGTTAGGATATTAGGGAAAATAAATTCTTTTATTGCTAAGTTTTGAGACTCTTTAATTTAATGTGTAAATAGAATAAGTTCAAGTAAATTATGTGATAAGAAGATTATCATAAATTTGCGAACTATTTTGACATAATCAAACAATTCATTTTGAACTTTAATATGGTCAAATCAATTCAATTTCAATTTAGGTCAATTTGTTGACTTTTTAATTCAAATTAATTCAACTGAGTTTTCAGTCTACTACCGGTGGAGTGGCAATGAAGTAAAAATAAATAAAATTTCAATTTTTTTAATAATTTAATAATATTTGAAATTATTTTATTTTATTCATTTAAAGTACTTTTCAAGATTTCTTAAATTTGATTTTTTTATAATTATTTTATCAAACAAATCATTTCAATATAAAAAATTTTAAATCTTTTAAATAAATGAGGTGCAAGAAAAAAATTATATTTTACCTTTTTAAATTATCTCATCCAAACACAAACATTAGTGTATTTTGGAAAATAAATTCTGAAATAATGAAAAAATTTAATAGATGTAAGAAAAAAATTATAATAACCTACGAAATGGGTGATTTTGCAAGAGCGCCCAACAAATGGTTAATAAAAGAGGGAGAAAGTCGATAGAAAAGTTTGCACGGGCATAAAAAGGAAGTGTAGAAGTGAAACTAGTAGTCACATATAACAAATATGGATATTTGGGCCTAAAAGTTTTTCTTCTAATCATTAAATGGAATTATTTCCTGCACCCCATAATTTTTAAAATGCCTATAATGTGGTTATGAGTATATTATTATTCGCTTTACAATTTAAGTTTCGAATCATACACGATCCTAGATTTTTCGCATTATATAATTTGGAACAAAAATATTTATATTTTATATTTTAAATTATATAATTTAGAATATAAAATTTACGTTCTAGATTATAGAATTTTAAATATAAATTTTATCATATATTTTGGATTATACCATTAAAAATGTAAAATTTACATTACACAACAAAACAATCCGTAACATTATGTTTTGTTGGATATGCTTTGTTCCGCGCATGCTCTGTTACCATCTCTTCTAATTGAAGGATAATTGTGTTGGATAAAATTATATTTTAGAATATATAATTTAGAATGTAATTTTAAATTAAAAATATATATTTTACATTTGAAATATATTTTTTCATTAAGAATAAAATTGTCATTTCAATACACCTATGCTCGTCGCAAGAAAATATGGAGGTGCACGAAGAAGAAGCAGCCTCCATCGAAATATTAAATGTAAGGAATGGAACTAAAAAGCAAGTGATGAACCCATTTGAGAGAATTTGAAGATAAATTTTTTTGTCGTTTATTTGAGTAAATTTGGAGGTAAATGAAAATGAATTTGGAAATAAAATTTGTGAGAATTAGTATAGAATTGTATTGACATGACAAATTAAAAAAATTTATTTTCAAATTCACTCTCAT